TGTCTCAAAGATTATACAAAAGTCCACCAGCAGTGTCTACCACCTGCTGTCTCAAAGATTGTACAAAAGTCCACCAGCAGTGTCTACCACATGATCTCTAAAATATTGTACAAACGTCAACCAGCAGTATCTACCACCTGTTCTCTAAAAGATTGTACAAAAATCCACCAGCAGTGTCTACCACCTGCTGTCTCAAAGATTGTACAAAAGTCCACCAGCAGTGTCTACCACCTGCTGTCTCAAAGATTGCATCAAAGTCAACCAGCAGTATCTACCACCTGCTGTCTAAAAGGTTGTACAAAAGTCCACCAGCAGTGTCTACCACCTGCTTCTCTCAAAGATTGTACAAAAGTCCACCAGCAGTGTCTACCACCTGCTCTCTAAAAGATTGTACAAAAGTCCACCAGCAGTGTCTACCACCTGCTCTCTTGTACAAAAGTCCAAAGCAGTGTCTACCATTTGTACCCTAAAAGTCCACCAGCAGTGTCTACCACCTGCTCTCTAAAAGTCCACAAGCAGTGTCTACCACCTGCTCTCTAAAAGGTTGTACAAAAGTCCACCAGCAGTGTCTACCACCTGTCTCTAATAGATTCTACAAACGTCAACCAGCATTATCTACCACCTGTTCTCTAAAAGATTGTACAAAAGTCCACCAGCAGTGTCTACCACCTGCTGTCTAAAAGATTGTACAAAAGTCCACCAGCAGTGTCTACCACCTGCTCTCTAAAAGATTGTACAAAAGTCAACCAGCAGTATCTACCACCTGTTCTCTAAAAGATTGTACAAAAATCCACCAGCAGTGTCTACCACCTGCTGTCTCAAAGATTATACAAAAGTCCACCAGCAGTGTCTACCACCTGTTCTCTAAAATATTGTACAAACGTCAACCAGCAGTGTCAACCACCTGCTCTCTAAAAGATTGTACAAAAGTCCACCAGCAGTGTCTACCACCTGCTCTCTAAAAGATTGTACAAAAGTCCACCAGCAGTGTCTACCACCTGCTGTCTTAAAGATTGCACAAAAGTCCACCAGCAGTATCTACCACCTGCTCTCTAAAAGATTGTACAAAAGTCCACCAGCAGTGTCTACCACCTGCTCTCTATACGATTGTACAAAAGTCCACAAGCAGTGTCTACCACCTGCTCTCTAAAAGATTGTACAAAAGTCCAACAGCAGTGTCTACCACATGATCTCTAAAATATTGTACAAAAGTCCACCAGCAGTGTCTACCACATGATCTCTAAACGATTGTACAAAAGTCCACAAGCAGTGTCTACCACCTGTTCTCTAAAAGATTGTACAAAGTCAACCAGCAGTATCTACCACCTGCTGTCTAAAAGGTTGTACAAAAGTCCACCAGCAGTGTCTACCACCTGTCTCTAATAGATTGTACAAAAGTCCACCATCAGTGTCTACCACCTGCTGTCTCAAAGATTGTACAAAAGTCCATCATCAGTGTCTACCACCTGTTCTCTAAAAGATTGTACAAAAGTCCACCAGCAGTATCTACCACCTGCTCTCTAAAAGATTGTACAAAAGTCCACCAGCAGTGTCTACCACCTACTCTCTAAAAGATTGTACAAAAGTCCACCATCAGTGTCTACCACCTGCTTTCTAAAAGATTGTACAAAAGTCCACCAGCAGTGTCTACCACCTGCTCTCTAAAATATTGTACAAAAGTCCACCAGCAGTGTCTACCACCTGCTGTCTTAAAGATTGCACAAAAGTCCACCAGCAGTATCTACCACCTGCTCTCTAAAAGATTGTACAAAAGTCCACCAGCAGTGTTTACCACCTGCTTTCTAAACGATTGTACAAAAGTCCACCAGCAGTGTCTACCACCTGCTCTCTAAAAGATTGCATAAAAGTCAACCAGTAGTATCTACCACCTGCTGTCTAAAAGGTTGTACAAAAGTCCACCAGCAGTGTCTACCACCTATTGTCTCAAAGATTGTACAAAAGTCCACCAACAGTGTCTACCACCTGTTGTTCCAAAGATTGTACAAAAGTCCACCAGCAGTGTTTACCACCTGCTATCTCAAAGATTGTACAAAAGTCCACCTGCAGTGTCTACCACCTGCTCTCTAAAAGATTGTACAAAGTCACCAGCAGTGTCTACCACCTGCTGTCTAAAAGATTGTACAAAAGTCCACCAGCAGTGTCTACCACCTGCTGTGTCAAAGATTGTACAAAAGTCCACCAGCAGTGTCTACCACCTGCTTCTCTAAAAGATTGTACAAAAACAAGTCCACCAGCAGTATCTACCACCTGCTCTCTAAAAGATTGTACAAAAGTCCACCAGCAGTGTTTACCACCTGCTTTCTAAACGATTGTACAAAAGTCCACCAGCAGTGTCTACCACCTGCTGTCTCAAAGATTGTACAAAAGTCCACCAGCAGTGTCTACCACCTGTTCTCTAAAAGATTGTACAAAAGTCCACCAGCAGTGTCTACCACCTGCTGTGTCAAAGATTGTACAAAAGTCCACCAGCAGTATCTACCACCTGTCTATTTGTACAAAAGTCCACCAGCAGTGTCTACCACCTGCTCTCTTGTAAAAAGATTGTGTCTACCAAAGTCAACCAGCAGTGTCTACCACCTGATGTCTCAAAGATTGTACAAAAGTCCACCAGCAGTGTCTACCACCTGCTGTCTCAAAGATTGTACAAAAGTCCACCAGCAGTGTCTACCACCTGTGTCTACCACCTCTACCACCTGCTCTCTAAAAGATTGTACAAAAGTCCACCAGCAGTGTCTACCACCTGCTCTCTAAAAGATTGTACAAAACCAGCAGTCTACCACCAGAGTGTCTACCACCTGCTCTCTAAAAGATTGTACAAAAGTCCACCAGCAGTGTCTACCACCTGCTGTCTCAAAGATTGTACAAAAGTCCATTATCAGTGTCTACCATATGATCTCTAAAAGATTGTACAAAAGTCCACCAGCAGTGTCTACCACCTGCTGTCTCAAAGATTGTACAAAAGTCCACCTGCAGTGTCTACCACCTTTTGTCTCAATGATTGTACAAATGTCCACCAGCAGTGTCTACCACCTGATATCTTAAAAATTGTACAAAAGTCCAACAGTAGTGTCTACCTCCTATTGTCTCAAAGATTGTACAAAAGTCCAACCAGTGTCTACCACATGCTCTCTCTAAAATATTGTCTACAAACGTCAACCAGCAGTATCTACAACCTGTTCTCTAAAACATAATGTAAATGTAAATTGTGTATACATCAACTGCTGTCCGATGCTAAGACTTCTAACCAAGTGTGAAATAAAAGGAATTACACTCAAGACTTTAATTTTCCTTTTCCCCCCACTAAAATCTTCCAGTAAAACATCTAAATTTCAGTCAATTTGACCCATTTTTGGACCTGTCCATTAGCCCCTTGCGGTCACTCAAGGTCAGTATGTGCATCTCATCAATCCGTAAGCTTATACTGATAAAAAAGTCTAACCAAGTTTGAACAATTTCGTATAGAAAATAAAACAATTTTGCTCAAAAATGTAATTTTCTGATATAAAAAATAGCAAAGTTAACCCCTCCGCAAGGGGAAATGTGAGACCCTGTTATGAAATTTACAATTTTGGTAAAGCATCTGAAGGACTTTCCATCCATGAAGAATACGTGACTCTACAATACCTGAGATATGAGAAGTGGTTTGGTCTACTATTTCCAATGGAAAATAAAACAAATAATAATCAAAAATTTAATTTCCTTATTCAAACTATAGTCAATTTTAACCCCACCCCTTGGGGAAAATGTGTGACCCTGGGGTCATGAAATTTACAATTTTGGTAATGCATCTCCAGGTCTTTCCATCCACGAAAAAGTACTTGATTCTAACATACATGGGATTTGAGAAGATTTTTGAAGTTTCAATCAATTTGACCCTTTTTGGCCCTGTCTCTCAGGCCCCTGGGGGTTGGGGACCAAATAATATACAATTTTGGTGTGTCTTAAGCCATGAAAAGTTTTTATACATTTTCGTTAAAATCGGTTCAGGAGTTTTCCAGAAGTCGAAAATGTTCAAAGTTTACGACGCAAGACGCCGGACAAAGGGGGTCGCAACAGGTCACCCAGAGACTTTTGTCTCAGGTGACCTAATAACACACCCATGTTGCAGCTTTAAGATTTTAACAAATGCCCACTCTTTGATTGAAATTTTGTCGGACCAGATGGCACTTATTGAACCATATATGACAGAATTAAATACCAGACAAAACAGAAACACTTTATTCAGAGTAAACAATAAAGAAGAATACTACAATATATCTAAGGACACTGCACAATCGAAACAGAAATACGTTTTTAATGTTCATTGTTTATATAAATTGACATAACTCATAAAGATTTTGTTTCGTGTGCATCACATAATCAAGAATGTGATCGTTTCTATGTCGTGCTAACTTCAAGAAATTATACTATATACAAGTAAACAGTAGGGTGCCTTGGTTGTCTCCATGATTTAAAGTAACGATTTTCTTACTTACCAAAATGTTATGTTTCACTAGTGTATGTAAAAAAAATTGACTTTCAAGTGTTTGTTATGAACCTTGACACAAATATGACAACTTGTAAAATACAGATGATAAAAGTACATAGGGGAAACAATCACTGAACACTTTTTTTGAAATACTGAAAGCTGTTTACTCTGTAAACAACAAGGTTGTTGACTTGTTGATCTATGAATTGGCCAAACATTCACAAGTATTCCCAGGTCTTAACGGTTAAAATCAAATTGTTCGAACTCAGTTTAAATTGTATTTGTCAAGTATGCACCAATCTTGTCATATCTTATAGAAATTCGGCATAAATTGATTAGTTTATGTACATTGACAGAGCTAACAATTATTATTAGTTCAAAAATGTATTGATAAGATGTAATACAACAGATCGGTTTAAATGTACAAATGAAACAAAACTAACATCGTGAAGTTTTAATGGCATCCATCAAACATAGAAAATATGAACAGAGATCAATAAACTAGAAAACACTATACACTATGTCCCAGCTCTCCGGCTTGCTTACAGACACACAACGCAAAGATCATCGCCATCAACTGAAAACAAAGAAAAAGGGGGAAAAAATCATGATTTATCTTTGAGAAAATATAATATTCCTCTGTGGTGGGGTATGAGTCGTGAATTATTGAGGGCAACATCCTTCTCTTTTTTACTCTCGACTTAACAGGTGTGAAAATTTCCATTAACTAGGAGTTCCTTGGGTTATTACGTGTTTCACTTAATTGATGATGTCTTTACCTACCTGTATAACAACAACAGAGATTGCCACGCTTGCTATCACCCGTACATTAGCTTCCAGCCAGGACACAAGCTTGGTCTTACAACCCTGAAACATAAACATTAATTAACATAAATCAGGTAAAACATTACATTTTAGTTATTGATCAAACACGGCTAAGTTGGTAAAACTTGCTTCACAATTGTTATAAAATAACTAAAGTTTATTATTATAATTTCTCCAGTCCACACTAATCCACAGATTAAAGCAACCATAGCTAGCCTTTTTCCATTCACACACCCTCCTCCCTCATCCTTCACTTATTCATACAATCTGTCACTCATCACCTCCCATCCATCCACTTTCTTTCATTCACTTTGTTTGAAGTTATCAGAAACATTATAAAGCTTAACAGACTGGGAAAGCTACAGTATATATATTATAATGTTTACCTTCATGTGGATCTTGGTTGGAAGAACATTCTCATTACATAACGGTTCGTTCTGGTTTTTGCAGCAGGAGACTGGAACAGCCATTACAGTGGAGTTGAAGGTTTCAGAATGTCTCCAGTCCAAAGGGCTATTGTATCCACAGCATGCAAACTACAACATACACAAAATAGTATTTATCTTATATGTAATTATATCTCATGGTCTAGTCTTACAAAGTGCTGGAGATAGTTTCCAACATACTAATCACCCGTGTTGGAGACAATAAATTATACAGGTATCGCCTCATGGATACTTATGTTCCATAAAACCAAATACAAATGTATACCTGAAACCTAGAGAGGAGTACAATGTATGTGGCGATTAGTTAAATATTCAATTTATAAATCTTTATCAATTATGTACAAATAAAGTAATTTATCAATTCTGATAAAGCTGTTGTAATGATTAATTGCAAAAGTTTGCGTTTAGTTACTTTTATTCGACATTAAAGAACGTTTGGGTCAATTTCAAACGTAACACCATTAGTAACAGTTATAAAAATGTGACAAGTTGTTAAGTAACACGACATCGTGAATTCGATATCCTGAGAATAATAACAACGTGTGATTGATTTGCATGAAATTTACGTTAGTTAATGAGAAACCTCATGGAGCTCTTCCGTTAACACACACGTTACTTCTTAAAATATTTTGATAATGGTAATTATGAGTGAGGTCAAAGGTCATGTAGAGGTTACAGTGATCCCTCTTCAGTACATTATATTCTTATGTTATGCCTATTTTCCGAGTTTGATATTCATACTTAACAGCAGCCCAGATGTAGTCTGGAAAACTATGTTCTGCTTGGCTTTTAGTAAACTGTCAATGTAGAGATCAAAGGTCAAGTTTAAACTCTTCTATGTATGTCATACACTGTCCTCTTATGTAATACCTATCGTACATAATTTGTACGTGAAACAGTGACTGGGATTTCTTTGGAATTTTACATACAAATTTACATCATGTATATAGCATTCACGGACCAGGTCCAGCAGACTTATCCAATCTACCATACAAAAAAACTGCATTAAAAAATTGGAGGATAGAAATAATTACAGTGTCTGAGAAGGAATTTTTTTCTTCTATCTATAGTCCCAATATACCATTATACAGTCCTTGTTGACCTTTGACCTCAATATGCATGGTGACTTCTGACCTAAATACAATCAGACCTTTTCTATCAATTAAGAAATCATGAGATATTTGCACTGGAAACTTTTTCATTGTAACCCCTTCGTCTTACATGTTGGGTAATCCAATAGCTCTCAATCGGTGTAACACTTATACGTTACATGGAGGGGGTTTTGTTCATCGTTCTGAAAGGAACATTACCTCCTCCTGTACGGTGTCTATTGCTTGTGTAACGAGATTCTTTCCTTCAAGGCTGTAGGACTTCAAAATCGCATCCCCAACATACTTGTCTGGGTAGCTTTGTACCTGAATAGACAGCAAGGAATAAATACGTTACGTAAAAACATAAAACATTATTTTCAGAGATAACATCGATGGGCTAATGGAGGTACGTGTACAAAGCGACATCCTTTAACTTAGTTTATACAATCATGACCAGATACAGAGACGGATTACAGATATACAACGGGAGGGGAAGGAGAGAGAGAACCAGATATAGAGACGGATTGCAGAAAGATATACAACGGGAGGGGAAGGGCAGAGAGAACCAGATATAGAGACGGATTACAGATATACAACGGGAGGGGAAGGAGAGAGAGAACCAGATATAGAGACGGATTACAGGCCGATATACAACGGGAGGGGAAGGACAGAGAGATCCAGCTATAGAGACGGATTACAGGCCGATATACAACGGAAGGGGAAGAAGAGAGAGAACCAGATATAGAGACGGATTACAGGCCGATATACAACGGGAGGGAAAGAAGAGAGAACCAGATATAGAGGCGGATTACAGGCCGATATACAACGGGAAGGGAAGGAGAGAAAACCAGATATAGAGACGGATTACAGGCCGATCTACAACGGGAGGGGAAGGAAAGAGAGAACCAGATATAGAGACGGATTACAGGCAGATATACAACGGGAGGGGAAGGACAGAGAGAACCAGATATAGAGACGAATTACAGGCCGATATACAACGGGAGGGGAAGGAGAGAGAGAACCAGATATAGAGACGGATTACAGGCCGATATACAACGGGAGGGGAAGGAGAGAGAACCAGATATAGAGACGGATTACAGATATACAACGGGAGGGGAAGGAGAGAGAGAACCAGATATAGAGACGGATTACAGGTCGATATACAACGGGAGGTGAAGGACAGAGAGAACCAGATATAGAGACGGATTACAGATATACAACGGGAGGGGAAGGACAGAGAGAACCAGATATAGAGACGGATTACAGGCAGATATACAACGGGAGGGGAAGGTGAGAGAACCAGATATAGAGACGGATTACAGGCAGATATACAATGGGAGGGGAAGGAGAGAGAACCAGATATAGAGACGGATTACAGATATACAACGGGAGGGGAAGGAGAGAGAGAACCAGATATAGAGACGGATTACAGATATACAACGGGAGGGGAAGGAGAGAGAGAACCAGATATAGAGACGGATTACAGGCAGATATACAACGGGAGGGGAAGGTGAGAGAACCAGATATAGAGATGAATTACAGGCCGATATACAACGGGAGGGGAAGGACAGAGAGAGAACCAGATATAGAGACGGATTACAGGCCGATATACAACGGGAGGGGAAGGTGAGAGAACCAGATATAGAGACGGATTACAGATATACAACGGGAGGGGAAGGAGAGAGAGAACCAGATATAGAGACGGATTGCAGAAAGATATACAACGGGAGGGGAAGGGCAGAGAGAACCAGATATAGAGACGGATTACAGGTCGATATACAACGGGAGGGGAAGGAGAGAGAGAACCAGATATAGAGACGGATTACAGATATACAACGGGAGGGGAAGGAGAGAGAGAACCAGATATAGAGACGGATTACAGGTCGATATACAACGGGAGGGGAAGGACAGAGAGAACCAGATATAGAGACGGATTACAGATATACAACGGGAGGGGAAGGACAGAGAGAACCAGATATAGAGACGGATTACAGGCCGATATACAACGGGAGGGGAAGGACAGAGAGAGAACCAGATATAGAGACGGATTACAGGCCGATATACAACGGGAGGGGAAGGTGAGAGAACCAGATATAGAGACGGATTACAGATATACAACGGGAGGGGAAGGAGAGAGAGAACCAGATATAGAGACGAATTACAGGCCGATATACAACGGGAGGGGAAGGACAGAGAGAACCAGATATAGAGACGGATTACAGATATACAACGGGAGGGGAAGGAGAAAGAGAACCAGATGTAGAGATGGATTACAGGCCGATATACAACGGGAGGGGAAGGACAGAGAGAGAACCAGATATAGAGACGGATTACAGGCCGATATACAACGGGAGGGGAAGGAGAGAGAACCAGATATAGAAACGGATTACAGGCCGATATACAACGGGAGGGGAAGGACAGAGAGAGAACCAGGTAGATTCATATAATCTAGGACATAAACATCTAAACTTCGTTTCATTGAACTTACTAATTTACGATCCTCTTTTGAGGATGGAAGTGATGGAGATATCACTGTGTGAGGACATCACAATACCCACGTGTTTGGGAAGATGACCCCACGCATTTTCATGGGCAATAAGAAAACCTAAACCCGGCTACAGTTAAGGAGAAAGGTGTGTGCTTTAGCTACTACACATGCCAACCGACCATCGGCTCCACCCCTACCACCCACGATACTCCAAGTGGTCACGTGCATTGTCGCTCTCTGCAGATAGCGAATGTAGTGTCAAACCGGACTTGTCACGACAAAATCTTTTATCTACTAATGCAATACAGTATACAGGTAATGTATATACATAATTAAATATTCAAAATACATATCCAATGTACAAGAATGCGTAAGGCAATTTCATATACACACGCATATCCATACAGCACGTACTTTGCACGCTGGCCTTTGAATTTATGATCTGGACTCCACTAACATGGAAATACTTTGTGAAACATGACAGAGTAAACAGTATGAACATACTTTTTGGCGTGTCTATATGTGTTACGACATGAAGTTCTGGCGTCATAATCAAACATCATACCGAAAGATCGAAACGAAGGGAAGTAACTCTTGCAGATAAGAATGACCGACAAAGCAGAAAGGAAGACAAAAATGTAGAAACTGAATTCGATATCACGATAATGAAATCGCCGAGTACTGAGTGGCTGCAACGTGCTATGTGTCCTTAGTTCTGTAATATTTCAACGAGTTTGGGTTGCGTTTTCCAAAAATCCGACAGTTTCAGTTTAGGCAGAACTAACAGTAACGACTATGCATGGCAGCATCGTCATAGGATAAAATCCAACCTATTTTGCTTCTTCATATTACAGAAAAGAGAACATTACCGCGAAAAAACGTTATAGATATTTATAATGATAACTATTTGAGCACAAACTGAAAAAATTCCATCAGTAGCAACCGGCGCATATGTGTAGCTTTGAAGTTAGGTTAAAGTTTATTCCCAATTATGATTTTAAACAGCTATGAGACCAGTTTTATCAACTTGCAGTATAACTAAACACGTTTGTTACGCATGCTAAACCTAAGTACACTCTCAGTCCAGCCATTTATTGTATTGTTTGACAAGTTTTGATATCACACATATGCAAACATAACATGCATCTATGTTATTTAGAGTACCTTTCATTTTCATATGACATAAGGATGTCTGCTACATACAATGGATATTCAATAAGATTAATAATATGTATATTCCTGAAATAACATGTATATCATAAAAATACAATTATGATTAGAATATGAAATTCTTAATCTAATTTTTTTCAAATTTTGATTCATGATTTAAGTTCTAATTTAATTTTTATACCTACATTGTCAAAAAACATGAAACCCAAAACAGCAGCTGCAGCTTGTAGAAGAGTAATTAGAAGGAGGCAGGTAAAGTACTGTAAAACAAGAAAACAGGAGTTAAATAGTGTCAGACTGATGTACTCATGTAATGTTATGGACGATGACAAGGAATCCTATACACCTATTTCTACGGGATACCATGAGTTACGTCCCCTCAGCGCTTATCGAGTCGTAGGCACGAGAGCCCACATGTAGAATGGGGGCAGTCATGGATGAGTAATTTGTTATCAAATTACACCCTGTACTAATACGGACTAAGTAGGTACTCGGGAGAGCCGTACAGTCATGGTTATATAGGTATCTGTTTTAGCCTAAATAGAGGTTACACATCTAATAGTTCGTAATAGTACGGTACATATCGGACTCATTTTGAATTTAAATCCGTGATAGCATAAATATCCATGTTCAAAATCACAAACAAAAAATAACCACCTTCAATGATCATAATAAAAATCAAATTCAGTTCAGCAATATCTGTTGAATCAAAACATCACAAACCAATGGAGAACCCCTGTAGTTTACCTGAACTGGTGTGAAGTATAGCCATATCTTTAGTGGGATAATTTCTTATCGTCCGACTCTATGTCCTATTGAGATTTGTTTGTGTCTTAAACTTATTATTGATGCTTATAGAAACTACACTGGAAGTTTAATAAAAGGGACAATTGTTAGTCACCTTTGGTGCTTAAAAATTTCAGGAACTTAATATCACTGACCAGAGAAATAAGGGCGAAGCTGCTGTAATGTGCAGTTTTATACTATATAACCTTTTTCATCCATTTAAAGACAGTAAATGGTTTTTTTGGAGTAGTGACACTCCCACCGTCTGCTTTCTATTTTGGAGCTTTACGGTCTTGCTCCGGGTAAGACCGAGTCTGGAACAGGTACTCACCCCCATCTGTTTTGGACGTAAAAGGACGTTGTCAACCTATAACCAAACCTGGGACACTATCCCACCATCCACCCTTTTGCGAATTTGTTATATATGTATATAAAGTCGTTTGTGTGGGTATACACTCATTTGCATACATCCTATACATTTTCATTTGAAATTCAATACAACTCATAAAGCCAACCTGTCAAGAAGTATTCATGTTTAACATAACAAATTACGTAGCAATATTTTCACGAAAAAAAACTTAAATATGGTAAGATTTTGAACATATTTGGTTCAAATGCAACTACATTTATTTTTACGAGATACCATAAGTTACGTCCCCTTAGCGCTAGTCGAGCCGTATGCACGAGAGCCTACAGGTAGAAATGGGGTCAGTCATGGACGAGTGATTTCGTCACACTTGGACTCGGAGACCCATGCAGTCATGGTTATAAAGGTATCTGTTGTAGCCTACGTAGAGGTTACATAACATGTCGGACTTGAATTGAATTGGTGATTGAATAAATATCCATGCTCAAAATCACAAACAAAAAATAACCACCTTCAATGATTATTATAAAAATCAGAGTGTTACAACTCAGTTCAATAATTCTGTTGAATAAAAACATTAAATTTTATCATTTGAGTGCATATGGTCAGTTATTTCAAAGGACTATGTCTTATATGATTTCACACATTACTACAGTTAATATACGAAGAAATCATTTGACAACCCTTGCTTTGGTTAAAAAAATAAAACTGCGAGAAGATCTAGAATTTGAAAATACATTTGAACAGAACAATTAATTATTACCATAGCAATTAAAATTTGAAGATTAACAACTGAAAAATCTTGATCAAAGATTCGGATCGGAAGGGATCAACATCTACCGTTAACTATATCTGAAAGTATCGAAAAGAAGAACAATGATTAAGAATTGATTATGGAACTCGTACATTTTGTTTCTCAAGATTTATGACCTACATTAAAAAATAGCAGTCAATAAGTCAATTCACTTATGTAATCCATTTGTTTGGTTGTTGCAACAATCATGAGCAGTCGATTCATGCTCTTAATTTTCCAGCAACAAGGACGTGATTTTTGTGCAAGTCCAATATATTGATATACAATGCCCTAAATGTGAAACTAGCCCCCCAACATAATTAAATCTTTGAACAAAGTCTTGAAAGTCAGCTATGTCAGGTAAAATCAGAAACGTATTTCTACTTTTTCTAGTTGTTTCAAATGCTAGAAAATGCATGTTTTTATCTATTTTGATATCTTATTATGTTTGTCTAGAAACGTGCTAATTATAGTGTATAGATTGGTATTTTCTGTACGATGATTATATTATGGAATATTGTTAAATTAGCGTTGCAGTCTTTATATACCATTTTTTCTAAAACAAAACTCCTAAAAAAAACTATACAGAGTATAGTAGAAATCTCAATTTTCAAATTAATCTCGATAAATTTTGTGACAAATATTTTCTGTTAACTTAAATTCTTTTAAAAACAACGAGAGTTTGAGCTATTCTCATCTGAAATATCACCCTATATCGCGGAAAGTAAGTTGTAAATATGTGGCACTAAAAATGTCATTAATTTTTAGTTTGACCAATATTGCAGGATGGTCGAATCTACATTGATAGTAACAATGTAGTTACATTGTATATATATCATTATAGAAACTGCAATACAGATTGTCTCATCAATAATTGATGCTTAATATACATTAGTAGTTAAAATGCAGTTACATTGTATAAATATTTAACCTGGTAAAATACTATCCGCAATATACCACTCGGCTACAAAGAACTTCTCTTAAGCTCGATTGGTTGAGCGTCAGACTATTAAGCCAGGGGTCCCGGGTTCGATTTCTAGCGGAGGCATTGAAATAAATAATGAACTCTGTTACAAATATCTTTATTGAAACTACAATTCTGATTGTCAAAACAAAACTTGATACTACATATACTTTGGCAGTAACACTGCAGCTAAAACGTATGTACGTATGTATAACAAAACAGGAACTATATTACATGATGGCCTTACAGTAATTTAGCTATTCTTCCAATACAGAAGCTACCGTTGTTGAGTAATTTTACATTAGATATACTCATCATTTTGTGTAAATTTGGGTTTCTTAAAGTAGCATTAGGAATGAACCACCATCGGAATTGACAAACATTTGGATTATTTCATTTAAATAGATGATGCAATTTATCACCTACTTCCTTAGTACATAAATTGCAATCTTCTCGGGGCATTCCTGTCCACCTACCTGATTCTACTGGTCAATGAAGATTGGATGAGCGAAGTTTACACATAATATTTGTGTTTTTTTAGGATTAAGTTTCAAAAGATACTTTTTAAATCCTAAGTTAACTTTAAAAATAGAGTACACTTGACCAAGGCCACTATTTTCAATATCATACCATTTTTGTATAATACGGTCTTGAAGTCTTTGTTGTACTAAATGCTACAAGCAGTTTTTACTTATCGCTGTTACAATCTGAATGGACCAGTATCATGAAGTATTTGTTTTTAAGACAACTGATCCATTCAAAAGTTACTCCACCCCTTTCCTGTTACTAAAACTTCAACTTATACCTACATGTAGACAGTTTATCATTATTTTTGTGTTATCATATTACTCAATAAAAGATTTTTGATTTTCAAATTCATAAGTATGTTTTACATCAAATCCAATAATTACATACGTTTTAGTGTCTGCATTCTTTGTCTCTATATACCCGTATATTACATATTTATGTACACTAACATAATTAAAAGGCTAATATCCTGAATGAAATCTGAAAATTGGTTGATGAATAAATATCTATTACATTTCATATCAATTGTTTACATAATTTAAACAATAACATTTATCAAAAACCCTTGTCCTTTCTCTTCTTTTTGGCTACATAATAGATGTGTACTAAAGTACTGAGACTAATATCGATAAAAATAGACATTGGCTAGATGTGTACTAAAGTACTGAGACTACTGAGACTAATATCGATAAATACAAACATTGGCTAGATGTGTACTCAAGTACTTACGAACTTTTGCAGGGATTCTTTAATTCCGTTGTCGATAATTGTATGCATTACCTCCCTTTGATCAACATAATTGTTAGAGAACGGTCATGTTACAACATACATTGTACTAGTTCTGTTATCGATCTCAACAGCCCAGTGTATTACCACGGAACACCGTAATGCCTTATCTAATAGTTTTCATTGAAAACATCTTCATCATATAAAGTGATTGTTACATTACACGAAATGGTTGTTTAGATATGAAGATAAGATGATCTTTATTTCCCCATTGTATGAGATGATAAACAGGTGAATGTAGTTCAGTGCAGAATATTATGTAAGTGACATAGGGTAGGCAGAGTGAAGCAAAGATAGGAATGATTTTACAATTCAATGGCTTATTTATTTCATTATCTGTTATTATATAATTCATTCTTTATATTTTAGGTATCACTTTCGTTATGATCTTTTCATTTCTGCCCATTCAATAGTTGATAGATTCACATCATATGATAGTTTCCCAAGAATATACTTACAGTTCCCAGAAGACATTTGTTTTCAGTGATGGCTCCCCAGCAACCAACCATTGATATCAGCGACACAAGTCCACCCACAGCAATCAGCATGTAAGACGCTTTGGACAAAAGACTGGCCTCCAATAGGGCGATGTACTTGGAGCCTTCCAACATCACCCAAAAACCGAGTCCCAACACTGCTAGTCCTGCCAACTGATAAGTTAGGTTGACATCATCAGACAGGACATTATTATGGAAATTAGAGGTAAATGGTGCACACAACCGTAAGAAATTATAGTTTTTGTTAGAAGCACGAATACTTGAATCGAATGATCTAATTCCCTCATATTTCTCAAAGTTCTTGGCATTACTTCACATATAACGAATTATATTAATAGTGCTTCTAATTGTTCTCTTGATTTGGAGGGGGCGTATATTAGCTGATCCTCAGTAGTCTTGTGTACCAGCTCTTCATCAAACACGCTTAGTTTTTTGTTCTGATTCGAACGGTATTCAGTATGGAATTATATATCTAGAGTTTTAAAAACGAAATGTTGGTATCTTTTGGAAAATTATACAGCTACAAAGCATTAACAAAACAATAGACAGAAATGTGTGACGGAAATATCATCAACCAAATGTTACCATTAATTACAACTAGAAAATAACTTTAAAAGTAAATCGACCTCCTGACCTGTTACAGTAGTAGGCTTACCGACTGTGCACGGACATTATTCAATGATAATCGAGTGAAGATTTCACATTGATCTCGACAAGTTTGATTATAAACGACGAATTATGTTCTACTTACCAAACAAATTAAGTTCAAGACAAGTAGTGTATGTTTCATACAATTTGCCATTGTTTTGTCCTTCTGAAAGAGAAAGTCAAATAACACGATTTTTAAAATCTGCCCAGAACATAAATATCTTGTTCTCTCTACCAAACGCGAATCTCATTGAATTTTCTCTCACCAGAAAAATATCTTTTATCAATCAATACTTACATCTGTGATTAAGAATGAAAAAACAAAGGTTATCAATGTTATCCGTGGGCTTTTCTGCCAAAATCACCGAGCATTCACTCCAACTGAAGAGCAGACGACGTCTTCCGGTAGGGGAGATAACTGATGTTTTGAAGGTGTGATAGGTTCTCTCCCTTTGTTTGCCTACTGGCCACTTAATCGAAAAGCATTTTTTGTTGATAACTTATATTTTCAGTCATTTATTGATGAAGGTATTTCCGATGTTCGACAATGATACTTACATTTTTGACATAACACCATAACGCTGTCTAGTAAAGCTATATACAACAATGCAAAAGTTTCATTATTTTTGTTTTTATTTGTTACCAGTTTTTTTTTCAGCCTGTTGTTAACATTCGAGAGCCTAGATGGTATTGCGATATTTATGATAATTAAAACTGTTTTTAAGGCACACTTATTACATCTCATCATCACTGAGTATTTTTGATATGAATGAAAGTTATTACTAATTGTTTGTATACTTTTTTTCTGGTTTAACTTAACAAGAGACACTTGAAAACAGCGATTGCATATTTATGTAATCACCATTGTTTAATCAGCTAAAAATTAATCAGGGGTCCTATGGTTCGAAAGAACGGGATATCTGGAGAATAATCAGTGGTTGAACAGGTGACTTCATCAGTCATTTCATTATCAACTTTTTCACCTTTCTCAAAAGGGAGCTGTACATGATGTTTTTGTGGCATGCACACATCGCTTTATTTATACACACACAAACGTAGATGTTAACAAGAATGCTAAATAAGCCTTTATCCTGGGGCCTTGGTATCTGCTTTTAGCCTGATTTCCTCTTTAAATCCTCTCCTCCACTTAAAACGTCCGCTTCATTAATACAAAAAAAGATTGTCCTAACCAAATTCACCTATTATGCCGGGTCACTTCCCTTTAACGTCATGATCCTCTTAAATAAATCACACATGTTTAAATGCATCCTTCAATAAGACCGAGGACCAGTACATAACATAAATTGGGCTTATAACTAGGGGAGGACTGGATTGTGGGTTAGGAGGAGTCGAAATTTTTGTATCTACAGAAAAAGGCGTATACATGGATCAGGGATAAATATAATTATATATTAAAGTATAATCATGGTATTGTAACAATATAGAGCGATTCATTTCTTTCGTTGTATACTGACTCGTCTTGAGCTATATTAAAGCTCTAACTTAAGACCATGTGATAGAGTAAGGAAGATAATCCATAGACAGTGGGACTGGAGGTTAGGGAGCAACTGATCTGACTTATAAGAGTATTAACACAATTATCAAATTATAAAGCTGGCATTTAATAATGTGTAATCGTGCTAACTGATTATAGTAGTGATATTAAAATCTCCTAAACTCTATCAAATGAATTGCCAATGTCCCCGCTATACCCTTTTAGAACGTATACAATTATATATAAATTTTATTACTTAAAGAAGGATGTCATTGATGAATAAAACTGTAGATTTGTCAACCAAGAGTCAACTTTTTGTAAGATTTGTGTGTCAGTAAGTATGAACCGTTTATTATTACTACAATTATATCGGGCCTAAGTGTCTTGTATATAAATGTTGACCTTTTTACACTCAGAACTAGTTATAACATGGATCTGGATACCGATTTTTGTGGGTGTACAAGCGGTGAGACAAAATGGTGGCGGTGAGACAAAATGGTTGCGGTGAGACAAAATTGTGGCGGTGAGACAAAGCGGTGAGACAAAATGGTTGCGGTGAGACAAAGGTGAGACAAAATGGTAGCGATGAGACAAAATGGTGGCGGTGAAACAAAATGGTTGCGGTGGGACAAAATGGTGGCGGTGAGACAAAATGGTAGCGGTGAGACAAAATGGTGGCGGTGAAACAAAATGGTTGCGGTGAGACAAAATGGTGGCGGTGAGACAAAATGGTGTCGGTGAGACAAAACGGTAGCGGTGAGACAAAACGGTGGCGGTGAGACAAAACGTTGGCGGTGAGACAAAACGGTAGCGGTGAGACAAAATGGTGGCGGTGAGACAAAACGGTAGCGGTGAGACAGAACGGTAGCGGTGAGACAAAATGGTGGCGGTGAGACAAAACGGTAGCGGTGAGACAAAATGGTAGCGGTGAAAAGGTGTAACCAAGCTAAGTCCTTCATTTTCAAAACCTTTTTAACCATTTTAGTAACAATGGTGTGATATACAAGTGCTCATTAAAGACTTGTAACTAATTTTGAATCTATTCACTTAATTTAACCGAAGTCATATTTTTTATTATATTCAATTGTTTTACAGTCGGTTGCAAAAACCTTGAAATGCTTGTTATGTCATGTTTATAACATGTACTGAAGGCTGCTTGACTTGAAGGGAGATCACTCCTGCAGCGTTGTCGCCTCGATTTTGAGATCATGTCCACTAACTTCACGGTTTGACGGTTGCATGACGGTTTATATTTCAAGCCATAAATATTCAAATCTCTCCCTCTGTATCCCCTACTCCCACTCCTAACTCCACCAACCACCAAAAAACGACACCGGCTTCATGTCTGTATCGTTTTGCATAATTTCTGAAATTGAAAAAGAATTTCATTTCATTTTGGAATCACCTGTCATTTAATCTTATTATATTTTGAATTTTCAGTTTATTCATTTATTTTATTTTTCATTTTCTAATCGCCGATTTCTAACGTTATCGTCTTCGAAAGCATTAAATAATGAGGTCAATCATTATTTCACCAGATTTCCGAAAAATTGCTTCTAATCTTTCTAGAAGAGAATACCTATCGTTTATAATCTGTGTCCTTTTCAATTAGAAGTGTATTTTGTTATAAATGTATTTCCTTAAAGCCACCACGACGGGATAAGTCTTGTAAATTCGTACTTATATCGCACTTCAGAAAACAATATTAGATCGAAAAATGGGAGACATACAAAGTGTGTGTTTCTATAAATTTTGAGATGTAATTAAATGTCAAACATTTAAATGTCTGTGTTGTTGATTCTTATATCTGACAGAACTGTGATTTCCCTTCTTGATTTACTATTATTTCTTTTATTTCCTCCAAGTGTGAAGAGTTATACAAAAAGAACATACATTGACATTGCAGAAAATAATTGTGCGTTTGTACACACATATACACATAAGAAACATCTAAATTGATATAAAGTAAACAGTAGACACAGAGTTTACGTACGTATATTGTATACATACAACAACTCCTATAGTTAAGAATATAAACGCGTGAAGTAAGCGTTTTCCATATGGAACGATATAATATAAAGAACAGTTATATAGTAAACACATATACATACAAGAATCATTTCAATTACATACAAAGTAAACAATAGACACAGAGTTTACGTGCGTATATTGTATACATACACCAACTCCTAAAGTACAGAAAATAAACGCACGAAGAACAATATCAAGATATATATATATATATAATATTGTACGAAGTAATACAAAAGAAAAAAATCTTAATTTTCTTCGTAAAAAAATCATTTCGGGTATTTTACCCCAGTTAAATCCAATAAATGTGCATATTACAACCATAGGATTTAAGACGTGAATATTTCATATTGAAGTCAAAATGACCAAACATTACAATTATATAGCATGATAATGTTTGTAGGATTCTGATGATGAAAATTATTGAGTTTATTCTAAAATCCTCTAGTTCAAATCGGGGATATATCGTAGTCGATACAAAATTTCAGTTTAAACCTCAGTTCTAAGATGCCAAGAGGAATTAACGTAAAAAAAACCAAGCATGAATCTCATTTACCATGACACTTCGTTAAACACCAAAAATATCACGCGACCCATAGTTAACCCCTGTAACTCTACTTATACGATACAAGGCAATCCTATTTATAATGTACAGTGATCGCCAGCTGTTATCAGCGATCCAAACATTGTACATACTGGAAAGAGACATCCGGAAAACTACCAAAGTTTTCACATTCATTTCTTAATATCATTTCAGTAATACTTTTAAGTAGAATTCTTCATTCAATTATATCGTTATCTTATTTGTGCAAAATAATTAGAATGTTTCAGTGAGTGATGGTGATCGTCAGTAAATAGTTTCATCACATTTCATTAAGGCTTTTTACAAAAAACAGAAAATACCCAGCTTTATTCTGACTTGATCGACTTAACTCCTTGATATTACATGTTAAAAACATGTGTGGGGTTCGGCGAAAAAAGTATTTCCATTCATGTACATAAACTAAAGCCATGTTTTTTTAACATCGAAAATTTATTACAAACAAATATTTAATCTGTCCTATCGCGTGCTTTAAAATCTCAATGTGCCCTTACTAAGTAACTTCAGTTTTACTATTGACAAATAATCACATCAAAACGATATATTTGACACTTCGCGATTTAAATTGATTAAATATAATGTTTCGGGATAGCATGATTCAAACTCTGTGAATGAGGTTTTTAAAAATCCCCCTTTAATCGGTGTTGTCAGTCGATATTGGCTGGCTGTTTATAGCGGCCCTTGTAAAACGGGTCACCCGTGTCCACCCCCTCTCCATATCCTATTCTAGTATAAACCCGCACCCTTCCTCACACAAAGGGTATTTAAATTTAAAAATCGGACGACGTTTGGGTTTTTGTGACGTTATTACCGGAAGTGAACTCTGGGTTGAACTTTAATGTGTATAGTGAACCGAATTCTATATCAGCACAGTCTGTGACCAGCAGTTATACAGTCGCGCAGAGATATCGTCTGCACATAACAGCTACTTACCTGTGTGATTTCTCTATCTTAATACTAATGGAATACATCAAAAAGTTACTGTTTGTTCTCTGCCTGTCCTTAGTTACGGTAAGTCCGCCAACACTGTAGTAACTTTCTCAGATATACTTAATTATTGAAAGTAATTGATTTCTTTTTTTTTCAAAATCAAAATAAATTTTTATTGATTTATTTTCTTACAAAAATACATATGATGTTAAAAGATTTTCCCTCGAATAACAACATTATTCAGAAAAAAATCTGGATTTATGTACAACATGAACAGCTTCATTAATTAAAACGTGAATTCCTGTAATATAAGATATTGTTTGAAAATGATAAAAAAATATTTTGTATAGTAACTGAAAATGGTAATTCAGTACCACAGGGAATCTAACAATGTACAACTTTGTTTAGAATCACAATAATTCTGTATGACATAATTATGGTTGTGTATTGTCTTCCGTGGTTTGACCTTTACTAGAGTAACCCCACATAACATAATCAATGTTAAGCTTGATAACAAGTCATCAGCGTCTCTGACATTGTTCACAATTCCAGTAAATCAAGTATGACGCAATCATCAGCTTGTATGACATTTACATATTCAGAGATATACAGCGTGACAATGTTAGGATCTACTACAATTTATGACAACACGTGTTATGAAATGGCCGTATGCTTAAGGTGAATAAAATTTATATAATTAAAACTGAAACTATTATGAAATTTATTGATATTTTGCTCAAAATACTGACATTGAAACCATTACCGAAATAATTTTTGTTATCGTCAAATACTGTTTTGTAAGTCCAAAGTTTCTGGGAATTTTGTTCAAATGTACACGCAGATATACATCAGCTGAACCAATACGAGATTGAAGGAATTCGATGGTTTCATTACGTTGGGACTTCCTCATGGAAAAACATACTTTCCGGTTGGTAATATTTCGCCCCGTTTACTGACTTATTTAATTCGAGAAGCATGGAAATAGATAAAAATAGTACGAGTACTTCCTTTATTTGATATCGGCGTTCACAGATCATTACGTAAAATGGAATTTTTTCGGGAATGGAAAACCCCTTGTCATATCCAACACAGACGTCTGTTTATGTAATACATACTAATGTTGTGGAACATTCTCACGTTTATGATAGTAAACTTTATCCACAATCCCGCACCACTACTGAACACAGCCCACCGTGGAAGGAAATATGACGTCACGGGTATGTGACACACCTCCCCGACGGTGTGCCATTATTTGAGTTGAATGGTGTCGAACGAAGCTGACATGCTTGTACTTTAAATGTGCTGTTTCGTATTATATCAATGGGCATGGTGGATTCTTAATGGCACGCGGTTTAAATCAATTGTCAGCAGTTCGTGTACATTTATGTATTGACAGACAATCTAGACCTTTTGAAATGATCGACACGCCGGAAGTAGATAAGACTTAGGATGAATTTATACTAATAAAACTAATAGAAAAGTTGAAAATACAAAATCATCATTAAACACACGTACATATTTCATTTCATAAGTGTTAGATATCTCGGCTATTACTGATTAGAAAAGCTGATAACGCCGGCGATCAGGGGTAGATATGTAATCTAGGCCTGTCTGTAACGGGTGACATAACTACAAGGGTATGTGCCTAGTTTAAACAATACACATTGTGTGGATTGTTGGTAGAATGGAGGAATGGTTGTGTTTTGGTATTATGTAATTTATAACTGTAATGAAGATTGCAATTGATATAGCCTAAAGTCGGTCGGTTAGTTGTGAAACAGATTATCAACATGTTGAGAAAATCGTTTACACGGAGAACATGAAAAATACCGTCCTACGGAAGTAATGTAAACTTCTCAAACTAAGAACCGGGGTATTTATGACGAAAAGACTGTATTTACTAACAAATATCGAACATTATCGAATTATTATAGCACTATATTGATATAGACAGTTTAGATATAACAACGGACTGTTGAACAGGAAATTCTTACAATTTATTGAAAAAATGTATCGTTTTAATGAAGAATGGTTGCATCACAGATGGCTGTATCAAAGGTTAGTGACTAAGATGGAAAGTTGTATTTAGGGTTAACTGTATCAAGGACTGGTGTAGCAAGTGCTGATTGAAACAGATGGGTATATCGTAACGAAATATAACAACAGTGTTTGGTAGTAACGGATTGCATAACCATTATTAAACTAACATAATGACGGAAAAATAACCGGGAGAATCAAATCATGGCGTGGGTTATAGACGGAAAACAAATAGTCTGTAAGGCTTTCCGGAAAAACTTAGTAACCAGGTCGAATAAAATACATGTATTGACATATACTTAACTTGAGCTATGTAGATATAACATATACCCAGAATCATAGATACACTTTATGTTAATATACTATATACTTAGAATATATTCAGGAGATTTCATAAAAAAACTCCTTTGAATGTAAAATATTTATATGTAAGATAGATAAATGTATGCAATATCTGATGCAATACTTCTTAATATTAAAATAATTCTCCTTTTTCCAAGTGATTGAATTGTGAAATGGACGTTATTTCTTTTTAAATTTGTGGCAGATTTATTGACTTAAAACTACACTTGTGAATGAAACGTCCTTAATCTAATTTACGACCTCAGATCTCGCCATACTAGCTCACTGAATATGTTTCATCTGCTTGGCAAACAAAACACACTATAAAGAGTTATGAGGAGACACGTCGAACACGCGCTTGTTTAAGTAATATTTAAACGAAAAAGTCTGCCACGCTAATCAGTTCCCAAAGGCAGGTTTGAGTTACCGTTTTTCACACGGTTAGTTACTACCTTATTTCATACAATACATGGAATTTAACGACTATTTCTTTGGTAATGCTTTAATTTGACCGGCACGTATTCAGTTAGTATCGCGCTGTGTTTGATCTAATCTCTGGCCAGTCCAACCCACAATTGACAGATTGTTGATATAATTTAAATTCTCAAAATGCCTTATTTATCTTAATCGTCCACAATAGCAGGGAATGGAGGCGACTTATGTGTTTCGAGATTTTGAATCTTTTAGGCCGGTCTTAACACTACTGGGTGGTCTGCACACTGGTACAGTTTCACCCCCGGAGCGGTCACTTGGATCCAAATGGGATGGGACCATAATAATAAACAAACCGTGTGGTGTCATAATGATCATCATGTTTGTGTACCCAGGTAGCGATCGCGTATATAAGGCTGCTACGTATCCGTCACCTGAATTGGGTTGGTAGTTAGATTTTACCTGAGGTTGTACTTCCGGATTAAGATTGACTACAGTCCTTTATCATCGCTAAAACCCATTTTTTTCTGGTCACAGTTTCAGTTGATTCGAGGATGCCGACTTTAGTAATTACTTATACATTAGAACCATATCACATTGCTCGCTGATAATCCTCAAACATGCGTATTCTGTTTCGGATTTTAATAACAATTAAGCTTACTGAAGTTAATATCTGTGTCACGTGACTGCTATGTCATCAATGTAATAGCATTCATTGTGTTATGGTCACTGTGATGGTAACAACCAGCGAAACTGTGGTTGGCTCAAGTTTTATATTGGTTCAATTGTGACGTCTTACCTTAAATAACGTTATCTGTATGTATTTTGACGTGACAAAAGAAAGCGATACATATTTGGAATTTCGTGTCTTTAAGTGTTGCATCAGTAACAGGAAAATATATGATTATGAATCATTTTTAAAAGTTTCTGTGATAAACATAAACTTACATTCGTTTCCCTTTCATATGGGATTTTAGAAACTCGACACTAATGTTTCATTTCACCTAGTCACAAACAAACACAAAAGGTAACTGATATATTAGGAAGTAAAGCGGATGTTAAGTAACTCAAACAAGAGGAGGGGGGAGAGGAGGGGCGTGGGTCTGTTTTTAAAGTCGTCAAAATCAACGGCAAGGTTTTGACAATTTTCTCCGTCATGTTTTTTGGCCAAATGAGAGATAAAACGTTGGTCTTCTAATGAATGTTAAACCTTTTACATGACACCATCATATGTCTTCAATGAACACCCAAACACGGAACTTGTGAGGGCGATAAAGTTCATCAAGGTCTTTTTATTGCCGTTCATTAATTCACAGGTTCACATGTTGTATAAAACAGCGATCCTTTAACAAAGTACGAAAGCTGTCACTGAAGATGTCGTCTGCCAGGTATAGATTTCCGTGTGTCAATCATTCCCGCGTAATGGATGTAGGCACTATATACCTGTAGTATGTACGTATGTAAAAAGGACTCGTTGGTAATTACATATAATTATACATAGTAATTCTCAAGTACAAGTTAGATGTTAAACATGTACGTCATTCTTCTTCATCTGAATAACGCGTCACAGATTAATTAATGAAGCTCACTTACGATCCATCTTCTAAATGAACAGTTTTAAAAGGAGGTACACACAGAATGTCAGGATGTCCTATCTCCTCGTCACAGTGATATGACAAATGTCGTTGAGTACCCAGCTCATCTGAACAATCAATCGCCTGTCCTTATTTCAAAACGTCATAGTAAGATGTAGCGTGGACCATCTATCTCTCCAAGTTTAAACTATAGTATCTGATAATGTATTTCATGTAGCTTGTTCCCGTCAATGACATATCACATCCAAGTGTCCTTAAAGCTCCTTGTCACAATAAGTAAACACATAACCTTAACCTCAAGGTCAGAGTAAGGTGTCTTTAAGGCTGTATGTTACATTCAGGTAGCATATTACCGTAACCTCAAGGTCAGAGTAAGGTGTCTTTAAGGCTGTATGTCACAATTAGGTAGCATATTACCTTAACCTCAAGGTCAGAATAAGGTGTCTTTAAGGCTGTATGTCACAGTTAGGTACCATATTACCGTAACCTCAAGGGCAGAGCAAAGTGTCTGTAAGGTTCTATGTCACATTCAGGTAGCATATTACCTTAACCTCAAGGTCAGAATAAGGTGTCTTTAAGGCTCTATCACACACAAAAGTAGCATAAAGCCTTAACCTTAAAGTCAGAGCAATCTGTCCTTCAAATTGCATGTTAAAAATCTGTCATGAGGATTAT